ATGCCTGTGGACTATGATTGATGGATCTAATCCCACGCAGCACAGCGTGCTCAGATTGTGTCTTGTCTTCACAAACTACATATGTCATATGTCCGATGTTTCTACCTGAGAAAATGGTTGGAGAAACTGCTCTTCCAAGGCATTTGTGTTTCTCCTGAAACCGTTGTTTGCGAGGGCAACCGTCAAGTCTGGTGGCGACATCTTTCAAAGTGGCAGGACAGTTTTACTGGGGCACGTACAAGTAACAGCTTGCCTGGGGATGCAGGGGACTGCGCAAACTCAACAGGCTTTCACCCAGCCCGTGCCGTCGCGGTTGAGTATCTAGTCCTGCACCTCCTGCACCTCATGCACTGCAAATGCCGCAGCCCTGAGCTGTTACGCTTGCGCTGGGACACTTATTCGGCTTCTGATGCAACATCATGCAACCAGCTGAAGCTGTTGCTGGATCAAGTTATATAAGATGCTGACGCTAGGGGAACTTCGTAGAAGCCCTGAGCACTGCAACAAGTAGACAAAATTCTGAGCAACAAATGTCTGAAAGCAAAATATTGGATGCTGTCTTCAGCGGGTAGACTCAGTTCCAGGCCTCCTCCTCCTCTTGCGGAGGCTGCATTGGCGGAGGAAGCGGAGGCTCTGCTTCCGGAACCTCAAGCGAAGGGGCAAATGTGCCAACGGCCGCAGAGTCAAAGTGAGCGCTGCTAGTAGCGTCCTTGCTCCTAGTAGCGATGCCCTTTGCTCCTAGCAGCTTCTTGTTACTAGTAGGAAGGCCAGGATCGCCCCTAGTAGCGTCCTTACAAATACAAAAAACAGATTCCTGCGTGACCCCTATATCACCATAAATTTGAAAAAAGCATCAACCTCCGCCATCAAACGAGACTGACTCTTCACATGAGAAATATTGCACACGGAAGAGTTGACTGAACTCGGAGAAAACGACCTACAATCAAGCCTGCTCACTCTCGGCGATGCTGTGCACGTGGCTGTTCACATAAGCAGCAGCAACATCAGCCAGCAAGGTATCTGTCACGGATTGAAACTGTGGTAGTTCACTCCCTCCAAGCTCGATTCAAATCATGTCTGAAGTGCCTGAATATTCGCTTCTCATCTCATCTTCCTGGCTCGCGGACTGTGCTACCATCTACAAATATATAAGTTCCCCGTGATCCTTAGCCTCCAAATGAGACTCTCAATCTTGAGAGGCTGGCAACCAAATGCAGGTGTGGAAATGCTACATTGTGGAAGGAGCAGGGAACCTTAAACAAAGAGTCTGAGAAATGATCTTAAAATTGAAATGCAGCCTGATCTGGAATAAGGAAGCTGCACTACCAGCTACAAGAAGCAGGCCTTCCATTGACTGTGTAAAGTTGCTGTCTATGGTCTGGTGGCTCTACCTTTTCGGCCGATTCATACCGAATCAGTCAGTCACGACCACCTTGTTGCTGCACAATCCCTGATTGCAGGTGGCAAGTAAAGATCCCATATCCATCCATATCCCAACACGTACCAAGAGCCGAGAAAGATTGGGACTTTGAAGTGTCCGAAAACTCAAATCATTTGTGAACTGGATTGAGGTTCTTGGCAAACAACTGTTCAGGGTTGCTGTTGCTTGTAATTATAGTAATCCCAGTCCGTTAATTATTTCCCCTATTTAGCATAGACACTAACTAGTCATTTCCATGTCTACAGCTAACTTGCCGAGTGCCTACAAAAAGTTGGTCGACTTGCTCAACCCACTTTCTTGAAGGGATAGACAAAACAGTTGTGGCTTTTCATCTCTGAGAGCAGAGTCATGAAAGCGAAACTGTCAATGATGAAGCCACATGATACGACGATACCTTGTATCATATCAAGGAAGACATACCAGTACTATGCATTCATACAACATCAACTTGCCAAACACAATGCCCAGTGCGTTTGACAACATGCGGATTGTTTCGAGTGTTCCTATGCAAAATCCGGTGATCCCCTGCATAAACTGCTTTGTCAGCCCATACAAGGAGGTCTCCTCAGTGCAGATTTAACAGCGTCGTTCGGTGGTTGGTGAGCAATCGGGGTGGTGAGCAGTGGTCCGTGCTTCAGACGCACGAAGGTATATGTGTCGGAAAGCGTTATCCCTCTTGTCCCCAATGTATGAATCCACATGAATCCAATTTCTCGCTACATCCTTCTCACAGCGAGCCTTCATCATCTCAGTGCTTGTGATCATGGTCGATGCCTGATTGGTCAAGATGACCCACTCAAACTGTGTTCTAGTAGTAACAAAAAGCCACTAGGTTGGAGGCCATCGCTTTTAGGGTGGAGGCCATTACTTCTAGTAGCAAGGATCGCCGTTCTTTCCGCCTCGTCTTGTGCCCCGTTGTCCTGAGTGCCCTGCTGGCGGGATGGTCGTGGCTTGCGAAGCCGTCTTTTGGACTCGTTCAGGAACCACCTCTCCAAATGAATGTCCCACTTTAATCTGCTGAACTTGGTCCTTGTGCGTTTCATTTTGGCAACATATAAAATAGTATACGTGCCCGTGAGTACAGTGTATGTCAAAGGTCATCACGTGTTCTTCTTGTCTTCTGTTTTCCACAGCTTTCTGTAGTTTCCATCAACTTCTCTGTTCGGTATGTAGTTCCAATATGGTGTATTATGGTGTGCACCCTTGAGCTACAAGGCCTCATCGTCTACCGCCCATCGTACCTCAAGATTTCGAGCTTTAGACGAAAGAGGCTGACTCGCGAATACATCAATATCTGGATGCTGGATGCATCTGCTAATGGGATTGCTCTCGCGCTGTAGCATCATATACTGTAGATCATATAGAATAGATTGCCAGCTTGGTCTAAAGCTCCTCGTTTGGTTTCACGCAAACAACAAAGAGCAACTCAGATTCACACATGATGATGATGCGAAGAAGGTCCACTCCTGTCGGGTTGATTAAGATATCTAACATATCTATGTTCAGATTCGGCCATCAGCTGACCGTTGATCAAGTGAAGACCACTTAGAAACTGATGCCAACTACACTTCGGGACTACAGAACTTGTAGCAGTCTGTCAAGTCTGAAGCTCGTACAAGTGATCAGAATCATCCATAGCATCCATACGGGAAGGCATCGGTGGCCTCGAATGCAGCACAGCAATGGTGACACTGGTGTCAATGGCTTGGGATCAGCCAGTGCTTTAAGAGCATAGGATTTACAGTCAGGTCCTTTGATTCAATGCATTTCAATGCTCAGTGTTGCGTTCAAAACCTGTGCACACGAGCTAAGACCAGCGACGGAAGTGGGTTATCCGGCTCCGCGAACCTCCGAGCAGTCACGTTTCGCATGGCGAGCATGCTCCGGCTCTCCTGTTCGTTTAATCCCAAGGCATCCGGCCAAGCACCGAGGCCCATGAAGCCAAAGACACCTCTTCTCAGAACCGACACGTTTGCAACAGCGACCGGAATTCCTCTCGACAGCGACCGAATCGTTGGAACCAAAGAATAGTAACAAGTGCCACGTGCCTTACTAGTAGTCACAAGAAGCTAGTAGAAACAAGAATAAACTACATTAAATTAGAATTAATAGCTTCTTGTTACTACTAGTAAGGCACCTGTTACTACTAGCGTGGCACTTGTTAGTGCAAGCGGCCTTTGTCGCCTCCATCCCTCGGGCTGCCAGGTGGCCTGCAAGTGGCATTTGGAATCTGTGGAGCATAGTCAAGGCATGCCAAGGCGAGCGTCTGCAGTTTGCCTTTGACAGGCCGTTTTCCCAGAGCGTGCTGAGGCCCATGCAATGCATCTGGATCCCTGGACCTGACTACTATCGACACAAAAATCCTTTATGTGTTCGTTGTTTCCACTAGCGATGGCCTCCAACCTACTAGCGATGGCCTCCAACACGAATCATCACAAAGGCCACGTAATCAGCATGAGCAACGACGTTTAACGACATCACATCTTCAATCTGAGGTTAGAGCTCACAAGGGAGAGAAGGGGCACTTACATCAGATTCCCTAGCAAAGCCATGTCCAGTCGAACGAGCATTCAGGAATATCCATGCTCTCAAGCTTGGATCTAGCTGCCTTTGATCTTTTGAGGTGCAATCTTAAACAATCTTAAACAAAACAAAGAAAAGTCCATCACTGTGCCTTGAAAAGTTCTTGAACCCTGGTTCGGGATGCTGATGCCTGGGGCAATCAGCCACATGACCACGTGGTTGTAAATCACAGAGATGTAAATACTGAGAAGCCAACGAGCCCTGCAACCAACTCCTTAGAGCGACCCATTCGCATTCGGTGCCAAGGAGCGACCCATCCACGCGGATCTTCGATGCTTCGCACACCGAACGGTAAGCAAAACGCGGGTCAGCGTTTGAGCCCGGGACAGCCAGCTGTTTGAAGGCCCTGAAGGTGGTGGAACAAGAACCTGAGGTCAAATCGAAGGAAGATACCCGCAGCAAAAGGAGCACGTCACACGAAACCGACCATAGACGACACTTTTCGCACCTCCTCGGCTTGTCCATCTTCCACTTCAAACACCCACTCTACTGGTGGCCTCAGCAAAGTGCTGAAACTGTTGGTGAAAACAGTTTGAGGTCGGCATTAAGACGACCACTCATCTTCAGGCCTCAAGTTTCGATCGATATGCAATTTCGCTGCCAAGGGCCCTTCACACTGAGCGGAATACATTACAGACAGATGTGCCGTTGCCAGTGCCAAGGAAGATTTGCATCTCTCATATCTTTGAGCCGAAATCCCACCGATGCAGAAGCAGCTCAACAAGGATCTGAAACAAAGCAGAGAGCCTGGACATGTCAAACTATAACAAGCCCTAGTGAAAAAAGAATTCTCAACAAGCTTCCCAAAAGTCTAGGGAGCTCTTTAACGAAGCTCCTGCCTTCTCCCCACCCCAGCTCTTTTTTGTCTACTACGTACTACCCCTGAACTACGTGATCTACGTGGTCTAGCCCCCGTTCCACCACCCGTGCGGAACGGAACGTACCCCAAACCTTGAAGTCAGAAGTGCAAACCTTTTTACGAAAGCAAAGGCTCACTCAAACGATCACCACCATCACCACCATCACCTGACAGCTTCAGGATGAAACAAAAGTGACTTTGGGAAGGTCACAAGCAGGGGTAGGAGGCCTAGCAGGCCAGCAAATTGCAGATGAGCCAGCCTCCAGAAGTGCTTTGGCTTGGGCGAAAGGGATCGAAAGGCTTCCAGAGTGAACCCTGCCAAAAGCCTACTCAGCATACAGCAGGGAAGGACCGCAGCCAACCTGAGTAAGGAGTCCACCACTGGACTCCCTCCAGCGGCATCACCAAGATTGTCTGAAGCGCAACTGAGAAGCAACAGCAATGGTCCCAGGAAGTATGTCGATGATTCCCATTCAGAGACAGGCTCCACCTTAATTCGGTCGTGATAAGCATTGTAAGTTGTCGACTATCATTGATCATCTCTTGAAGTGATGGGAGTTGTGCGTCTGTGGCCACTTCAAGACGCCTTTTTGGTCTCTATGGTAAGCTTGGATTGCTCGGACAGCGTCCTCTTCCCAGTCGAGGTGAGGCTTCTCTTCATGATGCTCCTCCTCCTCACAAGTTTCACTGGTCCATTGGCTCAGCTTGGGACTGAAATCATTTGGTGTAAGAATAGAATGTAATGTAGGAAATAAAGGGGTTCCCATGCCTTTGATGGGCCTTTTGGTGATCGCTCCGCCCTTGGGCGCGCAAGGCCTAGGGGCCTAGTGACTCAAACAACCCCCAATACAATCTCTCCAACATAATTAGTTATATAATTCGTCATGAGACATGCGCGCCCTGTGTGTATAAATGTTGTGCACTGTACAAGCCTGACTGTTGGTTTTTTTGTATAGAAGTGCCCGCCTGCGAGTCAAAGGCCTCCAGGAAAGCCCCGAGTGAAGGAATGTCACCAGTTGCAGCGAGCTCGCTGGTCTTGGAGACCAAGCAGTCAGCTTGCAACCTAAGGGCGAATCGCAAATTGACTAAATTCGTAAATCAAAAGAGGAAGAAAACTCACTTCTTATCATGGTTCTAGATGCGTTCGCTGACGTAAAACATGTTTCGTTCCGCAGCTGTAACTGAAACCGGACCAATACGTGGGTTTAATACCTTTGTAGCCGTCCTGCACATCAAAGGCGCCAAGAGCTGTGCAAGCCGAAAGCCAAAGACCTTTGAGCCAGTCTCAGTGAAATGAACCCCATCGGATTCCCAGTACTTCTTCAAACGGCTTTGTGGACCAAATGGCATTAGGGCCACAGTGTTGATAAACCTCAAAGGGCGACGAGGGCACGTGACATCGACCGAGATGTCCACTGAACCTCGAGTCCATGATGCCAACAGCGAGTTGGCTTCCCGTCGTTGGGCAGGCAAAGCACTCCAACGCTTCAAGCAGCGACCTCCGCTGTCAGGAATTCCCAGAGCCACAGTAGGCACCCCAAGAGAATGGCAAGCTGCATGCAAGCCTCGAGTAGCATCGAAAATCTGCTTGCCATCGGCAAAGCATAGATCATTTGTCCCTGCCATAATCAGCACCACATCAGCTTCCTTGGCTAGATGCCCTAGACCTGAGCCCCAGCGACATTGAAGCGAATCCAAAACAAAAGGCTCCTCAAAGACTTGGATCATCTCATGCGCAGTAGCAGCACAAAGTCCACAAGCAATCACTTCTACCCGACATCCAAACTCCGCCAACGACTTGGAGAATTCTTCACCAAATGGTTTCATGCTCGGAGCACCGGCAGTCAGGCTATCACCATAGATGAGGACCTGGAGACCTGACGGAATTCACTCACACCGAGACCCCTATGAGTAGGCGGTTCTATTTTCATTGGAGTCTTGTGTCTCTGGGAGTATCAGTCAATGAACTCTGACGTGTTTGGAAGAAAATTGCGAATGGGCGTAGGTTCATATGCATTCCAGGTATCACACCTGGTCCATCGCAAGGAAACCGCACAATGGCGCTGCCCTTGTCTCGAGGAACTTCTGTGAGAACCCTCATCACAGTGACCATGCACTTGAGCCACGGGTGAGCACATAGCCCATGCAGAGAAGCTCACTTGATCATTGCACTCCTCCTCTATCCACTAAAAAAATCTATTTGCAAGGACATGCCAAGGGCGTGGCTGTATCTGGCTTGACCTGCAGAAAGCGTTGCCCCAACGAACTGACACCTTTCGTCATTCATATCCTTTCCTTTGCACATCCGAAAATGGTCGCCTGATGCCGTGGGAAGATTGAGACATTACCCCGCAGGTCGTGGACCACCACCGCATGCCTATCAGGAGCATATGATCGATCCTATTGAAATTGTTTTATATATTTTGTTTTCTCCTATTATCTGCAAACCTGAGAAATGAATCGCCCAAGATCCAGAAGTCGACTGCCTCAGCCAGGCCAGTTTTGCAAGATTGCAAAAGGATGGAAAGCTCAGGCCTGCGTAGCAAAACCAGTTCGGCAGGCCTGCGCTAAAGGTTTTCTTGAGCAAACACAAGTCACACAATTCCCTGAACACCTTTGGTCGTCTAACTTTTAACAGCTTCAAGTCCTCACAATCTATACATAAATATAAGGTATGTTAATATATATATATATATTAATCTAGTCATATTAGTCGCAAGCACGGCTCCCATGTTGGGCTGCCTGCTGGTCTCCGTTCACGAGCTCCTGCAATGCAAATACATCTGACGAACATCTCTGTGCGTCCCAATACTTTGATCCATTCATTTTAAATTCTTATGCCATCCCGTGCCATCCTAGAACATATTGGAACCAAGTCTGACTTTCATTATCAAAGACAGCTTTTCATGCAAAACGAGAAGCATTGCTTTTGATTTGACCCCCGTTCTCTTCTTGTGACGACTGTCTTTCCGTGACTCTCACCATCCGCAAGACTTGGAATCCCTGGTTTCAGCGCCCAGCATTATCCACGACTTCAAACATGTGCTGGGGTTCCAATCCTTGGCCATGCGTGGCTGGCGCTCGTACAAATAGTTGGAACATCTGCTCCAGCCGGCGACCGAAGTGGATTCCGAGCACTCTGCGAATCAGGACTCCGTCAGTGTGGACGTCCAACGGGCTTGCCTGACAGCAGCAAACAGGTAGATGTTCAAATCAAAGGGAACAATGAAGTCTGCCCCTGGGCATCGCAGTGGAAGGTTGCACTAGTCAATAGTCTAGTGAAGATCCAGCCCAAAAGTCTTAACAACGGGTGGGTGGACGCAGGGATTGCATATGCATCATATTCATTATTGCAGCATCTTGTACTGTTCCAACAAGTGGCTTCTGCGCGTCATCCGACCAAAGCAAGCACAGCTAAAGCTTTGGTTGAGCCAGGTGACTTTCCAGCTTTGTGGCTGGATGGGTTCAGTCTGAAGCCAGCAAACCATCATTCAACACCAAACCTTGGGCATCAAGCTTTGCTCATTCCTGTGGGCTCCATGGGCACAGACGCAAAAAAATGTCCCAGAGCACGCTTGAAAGCCGTAGAGACCGACCCGATTTTTGAGGCCAAAAACGACCTCAAATTTGAGGCCAGTTTTGGCTTCAAACATTGAAAAATGGAAGCGTAGAAGGCAAATTTTGAAGCCAGAATTGGCTTCAAAGATCTGCTGATTTCTTATTCGCGGAACTGAAAAACCGAGGCCCCATTTTCATTTTCTGGATGCGCAAGTGCGCCATAAAGCGTCTCCATTTCCTCATCCATCAAATTTCACATACCTCCTTGCTTGCGACAAACCTGGTCTTTTCCACATACCACTTTTTGTGGCCTCTATTGCGCTTTTCAATTTTACGTTGGCGCCAAAATGCAACGTAAACATACACTCTGTGACTGTAGCTACGAATTTATTCAGGTGAGGACAAAGGGTTTCAAACGAGATGCCTTGACATTCATTGCAAATGCGCTGCGTGGCACTCTAGATTCCGAGAAAGTATGGAAGCTTACAAGGTATGATAACTCAGAGCACACAAAGGTGAAGGTTTGGCACAGCCACGATGGTTCAAACATCAAAGTTGCCTCCGCAGCTATAGCACAAGCGCACAGCCTAGGTGACCATTGGTGACCATGCCAAGAACCCTTAGATCTAGTGCTAGATCTAGTGACTAATGATTCTGATACAAACGGAACGGCTCTTTGACAAAACTTAGGTGGTGCGCAGTTCGCTTCTCTGCACAACGCAGCTTTCTTTGAGCCCTCAGTTGAGCTCTTCGGCTCACAAGGTACAACTGTCGGCTTCTTCCTAAACAGTTAAGCTGCACACGCGAGCCAAACATGGCAGTCGAAGCTTGCGCAAAGTCGTCTTTGGGGATTACCTTGCCGCCAAACAGTTGTTCCTTTGATGGTTCATTCTTTGTAGTCAATGTTGATCACATGGCGAAACATGTCAAATGAGAAACGATGAAAATAACATCAAAACTAGTCTGAGTGACAATGAAAGACGTGCCAGTGTCCAAAGCTGCAATCACCTGCAACCCACGGAGAAACCGTGCAGTGCTGAAATGTATCAATAATGTCAATGGCGCCTCCGATCGAAATGTGTCAATAGCGACTGTGACAATGATCACAAAGGCGCAGGTCAACACAAAAATGAGCATGAGCGCCTTCAGACGCGATGCACGTGTAAGACTGTAAGACTGTAAGAGTTGGAGCGAAACCCGAAGGAACGGTCCTGACACATGTCCCAGGTGAACTGGCAACAAGCGCGGAGGCACTTTTGGCCTTACACGCTTGCATTGATGATTGTTCAACCCCCCCAGACCCGTGTGACGCTGGGGAAAACACAACGGCCTATCGAACTTGACGGTTTCCAAGGAAGTTCCCGAAGCCTGCCGCTAAGCCGCTGCACCATCATGACACGAAATGGCCAGCTTTTTGGTTGGAACACTGTGAACGCTCCTGCTTTGTTGGAAGAACGCGAAGAAGAGCATCAACGCGCTAATTTCACACCTTGGTCCAATCTGCTCGGACTGTTCTACATCCAATGCAACCATACCAAGGTCTAGACATACCAATGGCAAGCATATCAGGTCCCTGCACAGAGAATGCTCCCAAGCTTTAACAGCAAAACCCCAGATAGCCAATGAATGCAGATCAGTGCAGATCAGTATGACGGGGTTTCCCAGGGTCTCTTTGAAGGCCTTCTACAAAACTCTGAGGATTGTGGTGTCTGTCTCCTTCTTTTTGCGGGAGCCAAGACTATATAGAAGGCTTCGACTAGTATTGATATTGTCGCATAGTGCTGTGGGAATAAGCTGCCGTGCGTTTCTCACATTGATGCCTACTTCAAGCGGCTAAACTATGTCCATGCGACCCTCGAGTGCACCATCATGAAGAAATCACAAGGGCCACAGACAGACAGACAGACAGACAGACAGACAGACAGCCAGCCAGCCAGCCAGCCAGCCAGCCAGCCAGCCAGCCAGCCAGCCAGCCAGCCAGCCAGCCAGCCAGCCAG